CACGGCGGGGCTACTTGGGACAACCCCCCGGGGCTATTCGGGACAACCCCCCGGGGCTATTCGGGACAACCCCCCGGGGCTATTCGGGACAACCCCAAAAATGCATTTACAGTAGAACCTCAGTTAGCAAAGGCACCAGTTAAGAAAAAAATTGATTAAGAACAAAGAATATTGATTACATTTACCGCGCTCAGCAAAAAAAATTCACTTATCAAAAAATTAGTGCATCATCGGTCATCACAAAATTGTGCATGGAATGTCATATATAGAATTGTGCACCAGGCATCATAGAATGAAAAACAATTGACCTAAACTACAATTTATTTCTCCAAAACGTACGATGGTTGTCACTAACACATTCCTTTCTGTTTCAGGTATGTTTTTCACAATCTGTTTCTTATAGTAAATTCACTTAACCCAATTAAAATGGTGTGAAATTACAAGCCGTCCTGTAAGCTTACAGAAACAGAAAAAATGCTATAAGGCTGCTGGTATGAAGCTTGCAGTGGACAAGGTTGTTGTAAATGCTTGATGGCATGTTCATGGATACAGTAATATCGCATCAATAATATGGTAATTATTGCATATGGTAATATATCAATGAAGGAGAAACGAGTAAAAATCACAGAAAAAGTAATTCATTCTACCTCTATATCATCTACAATGAAAGAGGAGGACTTCAGAGTACTGTTAGTAATGTATGAGTACACTCTGCATGCTTTAAAGGTTTAAAATGAAGTTTTATTCCAAGTGTCCCGAGTAGCCTCGTTCAAGGGGGCTACTCGGGAAACTCTTTTTTTTGCTTCTGGCACCTTACAAATAGCATATGGAATTTTTTTGATGCCATTCAATAGCCCTCGCAAAGAGCTATAAAATGAGTCTAAACTTGTTTATGAAATGTTTCATCGTAAGAAGTTATTAACAAAAAAACTCTCAAATCTGTCCCGAGTAGCCCCGATTGACAGTACTCCTAAAAAATGAACTTGAGGGAGAGTCTAAAAAACTCTCTGCTATGCCACTATGCCACCCTGGATTTACCTGTGATCAAAACTGGAAGCCCAGCTAATAGTAATAGATCCATCAAGGTTCATTGACACTTAACACTGAAACTTTCTGCTAGGTCCAGATGTAACAAGTGGTTATCTTTCGACTACTTCTTCACCTTCAAGCCGACCACAACAACACACACCATCATTGAAAGGGTCAAGGAATATGTGATTGTGCCCGAGAGTCTGAGAGGCAATAGGCTGTCTTGACTCTTAACTGATGAAGAGATGTACTCTGCTGGGTTCCCGTGACAGCAGCCAGTTTTGGCCGGCTGCCGCATCATCATTCTCGAATTTTGAAAATGCCTACGAGTATGAGGCTATGGTCCATCATGATCATCCATGAATGCTAACATGCTAATGCTATCATTGCATTGATATTCTGTGCTGAGTGCTGCCTTGCTTTGAGTCTCCCAACTCCATCATTCAGCTACAGCATTCCATTGATCAATCATTTGCCACTTCAGCATCTTCAGCTTTTCCGACTAAGTGTGACCCCAGGCCGGCAGGCCCAAGACGTTGTACTGCAGTTTAGTACTTGTAGTTGTAGGTTGAGGCGTTGAGCTGGTGAAGGATTCATCATTCAGGATTAAAGGTTCTACTACTAGGCACGGTAGGCATGTTGCACCCATAGTGACAAAGTACAAACCACAGATTTTTTAGAATCTGTTAATTTTTAAAGGGGAGCATATGCTGTCTGGGAGACTAGGTAAAAAACCTTTTTTTTATGGAAAGATCACTGTAAAACTTGGTACCTGCACAAGACATGTGTAGAACAGAAATCTAAGACTTTTATTCATGTAAATTTTTTTAAAAAGGAAAGAAAATGTGAAATAGTGAAATTCATATAAAACGGCAAAAAGGAGGGGGTACTATAGTTCGAACAGAAATCTATCTCCTCCTAGGATTGTCAAGCTTCAACAATGAGTATGAGATGCATAGCATTTGATGCATAAAGACCATATCCATAGACCATACTCACCATAGCATAGTGATGGTTGCAAAGCAGAGACATTTTTAGACAGTAGACTCATCTTCAAGTCAATTTAGAGGCCTATAACTTAGTATAAGTATACCAGTATAAAGTATCATGGATACCAGCATTATCTGATTATCATGCATAAGATATTGGTTTGAAATTTGAATCTTGAGTATGGTAATGAGGAAATAAAAAATGAACTGATTCTAAAGAATCTCTGGTTTACCATTTTGAAACTGTCCATATCTAACGATTCATCATAGCTTCTTTTGCAATTTCTATTTTTGTGGGTGGGGAGCAGAGTGACAAACCAGAGATTTATTAGAGGCAGTTCATTTTTAATTTCCTAATTTTCTCATGATATAAACCAATTTCTTATGTATGAAATTAAAATGCTGGTATCCATGATGCTTTACTGGTATCCATGATATTACTTTAATGGTCTACTTTTAGGATTCATAAATGAACTTGAGGGAGAGTCTAAAAACTCTCTCTCACCTCATCTCAGTCACTTTGGAGTTTGGTCAACGTTAATTATTTTGTTTTGCTTCCATTTGTTTCTGTTGCAGGTGTAGGCTGTGTAGCCAAGTCACCCCCAGTGGCCAAAGTCACCCCACTTGACTAGTAATCCAGATTAGTTATAGAATTGTTTAGTTGTCTCATGTTTGATTGATATTTTTTTTCTATTTAACATGTTGACTATGATTGCTTCATCTTGTACTATTATTTTATTTTTTGTACTGTTTTTAAACAGGGTTGCCAGACGGTCAGGTCATTTTTTCCGGACAAATTCCGTGATTTAGTTTTTCTCAATTGCATTGGCCGGCTAAAATTTATGATAAGGGTACTTCCTAATTAAATTTTAAATACTGCAAAAAAAATAATAAATGGGTTTTTTATAGTGGTACCTACAAATAAACTAGTATATATTGAGTTATTGGCCTTGTTTGGCCTTTCTTGATCTCGGATTTGGTCAATTTTAGGCAACCGGAATTATGTACCACTACGTCCTGGAGAAATACATTTCGTGGTACGCATATGTATCACTTCGTAGTCAATGTGTTAATTGATTTTTTGAAAATTTTCCATGCCCTTTGTATGTAATGAATAATTATTAGGTATAAGTTAAGTATTAAGTTAACCAGTAGTGTAGTACATATACCATATATGGGGCAGGTCTTATGGGCACAACCAATAGCAGCTGGAAAGGATTTCCATCAACTGATCACAGCTAGAAAGGGGATAACAATACAAATCCATCAACCAGTCACAGCTGGAAAGGGCAAAACATTACAATCTCATTAACCAATCACTGCTGGATGAGGATGGGATATGTAGGTATATAATAGACTGAAAGTGGAAAGTTCCTGGCCTTTCCGAGCTTTCAAGTCTTGCTTCCCAATATGCTATCTGTACTGGTTAATTTAATACCCTTCTAGAATTCTACACTGAACTGCCTTATAGGACTCAAAAATAAACTTTAGAAAAAGTCTCTGCTATAACTCTATGATATGATTTAATCACTAGAAAATTTTAAAAGATGTTGAAAAAATTTAATTAGAAGGATAAGATGCATTAGTTAACAATAATTGAAGATAATTAACTAAAGGTAATGAAATAATAACATCTCATGCTACAAAGTAGAGTTTACTCTTCATCATGAAACATAGAGTGCAGAGATCATTTGGGGCAGCAAAATGATGTATGTAGTTTGTACACACAACTAAAGCATTCATCTTGCTGATTGCTTCAGACTCCGGTCAGCAGTTCTGCATTTGCCACGTCCAGTGCAGGCAGTGCTTGATGACATTTCACTTGGCAGTTGCTAAATGAGTGAGTGCTTATCCATATTACAGAAGATGTAGGTCTTTTATATTAAAAATATTCATTCTATCTTATATGTTAAGAATAACAATGTTTCTTACAAATCATATGATGATATTATTCACTCTTACCTTAATACTTAAAATTAATTATTTGGTCATTTCAAAGACTCCATTGCCTACAAAAGTTTAGTTTTTACAAACATTTATTCAGCATTTCGAAAATGATAGGATAATTTTCATTCCCATATATAAAAAGGATTCATAAATTATCTACCAAATTCATTTATTGTCACTTAATTTGTAGTCAATGGACAACAGTTGAATTGTCCTACAAATGATTGATTGATGTAACTACATCAAATGTTGGGAATTTATATAAAAAATACCTTGTGTCATGTTTACTCTTCTAGGTGCCATTTCTATAAATCCTGAAACATTTAAAAATAGGTAGGTAGCAATTTTGATATTCACACCCTGATCAATAATTTTTGCATCATATAGGTACCATTTATGAAAATATCAATATTATTTATCTTTCAAATTATGAATTTTGAATATGAGTTTCTTTATTGAAATTCTAAAAGTGTCACCTCTGGTAATTTTAATACCACTTAAATTCTAATATTATCTAATTTTTATTAATGGTACATGCCCAAGTTTTTGAAATCCTGCCTCTCTGATTTATCAAAAAGCAGTAATTCTTCTGTGTAAACAATGAACATTTTCTATAGGACATGAGATGTTGGAATATTTGCAATGCGAGACTAAATCATTCAGGATTTGAAGTGAAGTCAGTAAGACAATATTGACAAAATCATGCAAAAACATAAAAAAATTCATATCTGCTTGGTTATAAAGAGGTGTTTAAATGTTAAATTGGTTTCCATCATTTAAATCTCAGTGTGGATCAAATCCATTTATTGTGAAATCAAATATGACATTACCCAAACAGAGAGTGGGACAGCTTCACTTATCACTTAATCACTGCCATTACAATGTGCACAAGTCATGAAAGAATCAGAGATTATCTCATCATTTTGTGTGGTACCAAAAACCTTGTTAGTAATATTAAAATCTTGAGACTTTTCTACAATAGTTAACATAATTTTTCTTCTATTTTAGAACATATTTATTGCAAAAATTGTAATTAATAAATGACTAGCAAAGATCATCAAGAATGGCACCTTGGAGATCCACATGCAGTCAGTAAATCATAAATGTCAGACTAGCAGTAGCCTCTCACAAGCTCAGTCTATGCCTTGCAATAGCATTGTATTTATAATGTGGTAGGCCGTCCAATCCATTTTGTTATGTAAATATGAGAATATATTACCCATACCGAATTCCAGGCTGGCTATGACTTATGAGCCTCTAATTGAGTTGCTCCGGCACTGGCAACGCATCAGCATTGAAATCTATCTTCATGACATCTTGCCAGTTGCTAACACATTTCTTTTTAACTTTAATTACCTTTTTTACTGTATTTTTGTCAAGAAGACTTAATGGTATGGTAATGGCAACATATCATAACAATGCTGACATTTTTGGCCTAAAAACATGATCTTGGTGATATAATTGCTCAACTCTGTTCTGCATGGTGGTCAGGCAATGAAGCTAACAAAATCAATCAATATCATTGATTGATTATTGGGTGTGAAATCTGCTTTTGAAAACTTCCCTGCTTGTTTCCATGCAGATTTAATCATCCAGGCTGTAAAGCAAGGCATTTTAGATTGATATATCAACATCTTTTCAAGCTCCCCATCAGCCATCTTGACCTTAAATTGCCATCCATGATGATCACAAACTATGGACCAATTGATCAACACTGCTGTTGAATATCAACAGGTGTATCTTCAGCTTGATTTGATTACTTGTATCTGCCCACTGCAGCAATTGTTTTGGCCAATCTGTACCAATCATGGCACATCATCCATATTGATCATAATGCGCATATGTCCATGCCAATCATCACACATTGGCCATATTGATCATAATGTGCAAATGTCTGTGCCAATCATTGTTCATCACCCATGTATGTATTGGGTGTATGCCTCTTTCAATCATTGCACTTTGGCCATATTAATCTTGTGTGTGATGTGTGCGTACATCCTCAGTGCCAATCATCTCACATTGGCCATTTTGATGGTAATGCGCATACATTGGTGCCAATCATTGCACATTTGCCATATCAGTTGTAAGTTGCAATCTATGGAGAAACATAATTGGCAACCACCATCCACCTTGATTGTACCTCAGCATCTTGAGGGTTAATCAAGTCTGGCTAATCAAGATGCTGTTTAATGTTAATTTGTTTTCTTGTACTTGATTTACGCTTGATGAGTTGATATCTTCAATAAAAATTTATTCCATAGTATTATTTATAAATTATTGAAGTAGGGAAAGATTTATACTAATAGGGGAAGATGGGTGTAGAAGTGACTGGCCAGGTTGAGGGAGGCAGTGTTGTTGCTGCTGGGGAGACCATCACTGTTTCTGTCACTGTGAGCTCAACAAAAGACTGCAGCAGCAATAACTCTGATGACATGTAAGTACCTAATTGATAACTGTTTGTATGGGAGCTATTCATTTTAGGAGGAATCATAATGGATCTATGCTTTGGGTCAAAATAAATGCTCCTAATTATTTTGCCATCTCAAGTGACATCTTTGTACAGATGATGTTTCTTCAGAAATTTTGTTACATATGCAAATTTTGTTTGCAGTAACATAAAGTTCAGTTCTGAAATATTTCTAAAAGGCCAGAAACAACAGTACATTACCTGTATTATGTTACTTACATCAAGCATTTATTATATAAAAATATGCTGAAAGCCTGCCACCGGCAATTTGAATGTTTTTTTTTTTAAATAAGAATTCTTCAAAGTCAGAGACTAAAGCCTTTTTTCTATTACTTAAATGATAAAATTCTTGCAGATTGCTTGCCAGTTTCAAATAGTTGTTAATGCTTGTGTATATATTTTTAATTCATCACTATGACTGATGTAGCAAATTATGACAGGTTTGTAGTCTTCTTTGAAAGTAAAAGAATACATATGGTTTAAGTGAATCAATAATTGTCGCCAATGCTGTACATACTTTTCTTCTATGAAAATTTGTAAGAAGCAATACTGCCAAAGCTTTATTTTGTGGTTGGTCAAACATATCTATGATCACCTGTATAAGGCTTCACAGAGAATACTATTATGCAAACGTCATGTGTGTTGGAGCTATTTCATCATCAAGACTAATTGAAACATTTAATGATTTTTGATCCAAAGAAACCTTGTGACTCACAGGAGTGGCGATGTTGTGGCTTGGTGCAGTGCTCAAATCCACTGCATTTGCACATCAAATGATGCATACGTCATTGCTCCCTCTCCTGCCAAAGCAACAGTTGCTGCTGGAGAATTGGGCAATCTCACATCTGCAGGTAATTTCAAAGTTCTTCTCAATGTTATTTTTTCACTCTCTTCTTATGAACTAGGAATAGTAGAGGAAACTTATGTTAAATTTTTAGGGATAAATTTTTCATTGATAATTACCTACCTCTCTTGAAATACCGTAGTAATTTACATCATTGCAAGCCACAAACGTTAGAATTTCAGTACTTTGGGAGGCTCTGTGCCAAGCACTTGCTTCGGATGCTTTGAATTTAATGCATGATTTATTGGATTATTCCTTTTGTATCTCTGCTATGTAGTTTGTGCTATATTCAGTGCAGAAGCATTGAAATCCATCCACCTACCACAAATAATTGGCGGAGCTTTTTATTGGATTTTGCTCAAGTTGTGACTATTGTACTATATCAGGGATGATGCTTGCAAGTACAGATATAAATAAATGTTCATTTCAAACTTCTCTTCTTAGCTGCTTCAGGATATTTTTAAAAATGTTCATAAAATTTGTGATAGCAGGAAACCATATGTACATGAACTCAAATCTGTACTAATTGTTGAATAGCTCTATAATAGAGGCACCTAAAAACTGGCCTGCGTTGACAGCTGCTTGAAACTGAAATTTTTTTCACTGAATACATTGCCTTATTATGAGATAAGTTGTTACATTTTTATGCAACTCTTCATAATATTATTAACTTTCATGCAGGAACATCTGTAGGTACCTAAGAAGCCCCTTCTTGCGGAATTAAATTGCATATATTGAACTACAATAAGGATTATCATGACAACAAAAGCAGTTAGTTGTGTTATGTATGGTTTCTGAACCCAGAACATCTTCAGCAAAAGAACAGTTCGTTGCCGAGTTATTAATTTATTAATTATTTCCAGGAACATCATTGGCTCCCTGGCGTGGCGAGGGAGGCCACCTGGTGCTGACAACAAAGCCCACCATACTGTTCTGTGATCTGCATCTCCCCCCTGGCCACTCTCGAACATGTGGGTGTTTTGTTTGTGGCAGGTATTTTATTTGCATGTGCTTCTCAAGCTTTAAACTTGTTTGGTAAAGTGATCAAGGACTCTACTATCAAAAATAGTTACGAGTTTGTAACTTTGTCACCCAATCCCTGATGTCTTTTCAAGCTAAACTCACCTATCAAAGACAAGAAATTGGCTGCTACGTGTACTTAGGCCGCTTCTATCCGTTGTCAATATGGCGTCTCATTATATTCAATATAATTTTTTTATAAGATACGATCATTTGTAATTGAGACGTAATATTCACTAGACGTGATAGAGATTGAGGGAAAAGTACCTACTAGACCGGAGTCTGCATCTGGAAACATTATGTGATAGATCACGCGATAGCCATGACTGAACAACTACATGTAATGAGATTTATTAGTATGGCAAGTGGCTTGTTTCAAGAACTAGTTGCATCATGATACTAATATTGTTGTTGGCAGTCAGGTACCGTGAGGTGGTACCAGTGACTGGTCCACCCAGCTACCGAGGTGTGCATGTGAAATACTCATGGAAAGTGACCGTGGGGGCCCAGCGACATGGCCGTAAGGTGGTGCTCCTCAGACTCCCCCTCAGGGTGCTGCTTCTCCCACCTCCACCACCAGGTATTTAGGGTTCAACATTACTTTTTATTGGACACTAGGTTAACCTAGCAATTTATTAGCTACTGGCTGGTTAACATGGTAATTTAACGGCTACTTGCATGTAAACTTGAAACTTATTAGCCATTGGCTGGTTAACCTAGCAATTTATTGGCTACTAGCAGGTAAACTTGAAATTTATTAGCTACTGGCTGGTTAACATGGTAATTTATTGGCTACTAGCAGGTAAACATGCAACTTTTTTGCCTCTGGCTTGTTAACCTGGTAATTTATGAGCCCTTAGCTTGTTATTGTGGTAATTATTCACCCATAGCTATTGACCCTTCTTGCTGGTTCCTATTCCTTACAAGATATTTCTTTGTGTGTTGTGTTTAACTCTTCTGTGATGGTCAGACTGCAATGTATTTATATTACCATTCATGATTGATAATGACATGATTATGTACACCAGGAGCTCTGGAGGATGCATACAGTGAGAGTGATGATGAGCTGTCACCCAGCAACCCCTTCCTGCACCCATCCCCCCACGCCTGCTCCTCCCCTGCTCCCAACGCTGCCCTGCTGCAGGTGAGTCTTGGCTGCAAACTTTGTCGTTGATTTGCCACTTATGTTTTTTAGGAATTGAAAGAAAGATTACAAGTAAACTGTAAAAATAGTTTCTTGTTAAATTTGCATAGTCAATTTTCCTGATCAACTAAAATGAAGTTTTTTCCATTTTACGAAGTCCTTTTTTTTGCTTTTCTCCACCATCACATTGACGATGTTTGCTGTAATGGCTGTCCGTGGTCACAGGCGTGGACGGCGCCCAGTGCGCGGGCTTACAACGTCGTCCACTCCCGCGGACACGTGGTGCAGTTCCGCCTCTTCAGAAGCCGGTACAGACTGGGTGACGACCTCCTCGCCACCCTCGACTTCTCTGCCGCCCAAATCCCCTGCGTCCAGGTGCTCTACAACCCTGGCAGTTTTTTTAACACTGCTCTTAAGTGTTGCCTTTGTGCGTAGTGCTGTGCATCGCTTATACCAAGGAACTGCACAGTTACTGCGCAGTGAACATTCAATTCAAAACTTAAAACATTCAATAGCGCCAAAGTTTCCATCATGCGTGTTACGTGATACTATTACTTGTATGAGTTACCTTTCAACTACCCTAGTCGCTAATATGATCTCGTATGCAGTCGGCAGTGTCATAATTATTCAACAAGCCTGTGTGTATTATTTGTATCATGTGTGTTGTGAGTTATTGTTATCTTATATGAGGTAAAGTTACGTTCTTTCGATATTCGATACGAGTTACCATTCATTGACACTAACACTTGTACCTCGTGCGCAGTACGCGGTGTGCCTGCAGAGCGTGGAGGAGGTGGCACAGGAACACAGGAAACGTCGTCAGCAGAGCGCGTCTGTTGTGTCGCACAGCAAGACGCATGAGGTGTGCCTCAGCATGACGCATACCAGCCTGCTGATGCCCGTACCTCTGCACATCACGCCATCATTCGATGCTCACATGGGTCAGTTGATGCCCTGATGCTCACATGGGCCAGTTGTTGCCGTGATGCTCACATGCCACCTGGGTCAGTTGATGCCGTGATGCTCGCATGGGTCAGTTGATGCCGTGATGCTCACATGGGTCAGTTGATGCCGTGATGCTCACATGGGTCAGTTGTTGCCGTGTTGCCTCCACTGCTGTATATGGCGCCACGTGACGCAATTTACACCTGTTGAAGTTGAGCTCCTGTTTACCATTGTCCTGTTTGTGTACAGTTACTCGGTGTGTACACTTGCTCGGTGTGTACAGTTTGTTGGTGTGTACAGTTTGTTGGTGTGTACAGTTACTCGGTGTGTACAGTTACTCGGTGTGTACAGTTTGTTGGTGTGTACAGTTTGTTGGTGTGTACAGTTTGTTGGTGTGCATAGTTTGTTGGTGTGTACTGTTTCTTGTTGTGTAGTTTTTTTGTGTGCGTACAGTGTCTCGGTGTGTACAGTTACTCGGCGTGTAGGTACAGATTTTCTGAAGCGCTAGAAACAACTAAGCTAGAACGGCACAGGAAATCGGTGCACATGAATTTGAGGGAAACCTACAACTACAACTACTACTCGGCGTGTACACTTACTTGCTGTATCGAAAGTTAGTATCCAGCGCTACTATACCCGATTTAGTCTCATGCCGCTAGTTTTGGAGTTTGGCAAATTTATGATCACTTAAGAATTCAAAAATATGTAGGTCGAAATTTACAGCCCTCTGTAAAAAATTGATATCCAGAATGTGGTGGCACTTCTTTATAAGTCTATGATTTGTCTTTTGAAATTCAAGCATAATGATATTTTGTCTGCTTTTATTTCATATTTTTTTTAGTCTTTTTCATTGATGTTGTTTAGGAACGATGATTTTAATAAATTGCTGCTCAAAATATTTTACTAATGAACTGTAAAACAACTTCCCTGATCTGAACTTGGAACAAGATTTAATGTCTCATGCTTGATACTGAACAGCAACAATCACGGTAGAACTGGCAGCCCAACATGAGGGTTTCTTGACTAATTAGATTGGTATCTCATCAAAACTAGAATCTTGTACTACGCATCTAATTTGCATTGGCAAGCTTATCTTCAGAGCTTAAAACAAATGAAAAGTCAATCTCAATAAAGTTTCAGCATGAACGTACAAATCGATGTGATAAAGTTTTAAAGTATGACTGTGTGCGACCCTGTTTGCATTACGCACTGGCAACTAGTTTGGTTTAGGTAATAAATGTTTTTAGATTCGTCTCCGATTGCATGAAGTTTATCTCTTACAGCTCTTCACACTATATTTTTAATAGAATCTTTTGAATACCTAAATTCTTGAGTGTCATTTAATTGCTTGAGAGACGCAAGTAGAATCATGTTTACTTAACGTCTCTTTGTGTCGGGAATCTTGCATCGTTTTAATTGACTTTGCATTCATAGTTGGGAAATATTGTGCTTATTGTATGAGCGAAAAATAACTTATTATTATCGCTATTTATTTTTCTATCTAAAAATTATACTTATTTTTCCTTCACTATTTACTTTATATTTAAAAATAATTTATTCTTCCTTCCCGCAGTTAACTTGAAATATCGCCTGCACTTCGAGTTCGTCCTCAGCCTTGACGACTCTCACCATAAGGCGCAGAGAGCGAAGCTCAAAAAGGCGTCCAAAGCTGGCGAGGCCGCTGAACACAACCCCGACACCGGCCTGCATATGGGGGGCTGGGTCAAGCAGGTGGGGAAATGATACATGTCCAGGAGCCATGTTAAGCATGTGGGGAGAAATGATTGATGTTCGGAAACAAGGTTTAATATCAAGCAAAGCAAATTAGGGAAATGACTGATGTCCAGGAGCCATGTTAAGCATGTGGGGAGAAATGATTGATGTTCGGAAACAAGGTTTAATATCAAGCAAAGCAAATTGCGAAATGACTGATGTACGGGAGCCAGGCTAAGCATTATGCAAGTGGGGAAATAAATGTTATTCTGGTGTGAGGTTTAGCTTAAATCCGCAGCCTGCAGTTAACGAGCTGTTGATATGGACGATGATGTGTGCTGCTGTTAGCCTGGTTGATTGATGCCTGCAACTAATAGCGAATGATGTGAATGATGACTAGGTGCAATCCCGTGTTCTGTATTCGTCAGACATCATCCTTTATGTTAAATAATAATTAATGTATACGCGATATATTAAGGTTTTATAAGCTAAAGTGTTATACAGTGCATGTGTAGCTTGTTATTGAGAATAATTAAGACCTGACAGAAGTTAACTCGTGTCTTCTTTTGCTCGCCATCACATTTTTGTGAAACATACGTACCCTTAAAGTTCGGTTGAACCAGACGCCAGGACAATCGCTTCATAGAACAATAATAATCTCATATGCTATGTTCTGCTGCAGGAGGATGAGTCGTTGTCGTGGCGAGCGCCCCAAGAGCTAGACATCGAGACCCTCGTGTGGGATCTGCCCGTGAACATCTGCCCCGCTCCACCCACCCAGCTCTCTTACGCCCTCAACCTCCCCCTCAGCTGCGCTTCAATGATTGTGTGATGATTCTTCTCAGCTACAACTTCCTTGCTTTCGAACCAAAAATCTACTGACTATTACCAAGTATTTTCAGGTTTCACTGCCCTCCGCTATTAAGGCATATTATGGAAAAAGTTATACCTTCAAGAGTCCCTCGGCCTTATGCTTATTTAAGCTGAGGCTTCAAGAAATTTGCTTCATTGAACGTAAAAGTTATAATCAGTTTTACCACGCCAGCCCCCTCTCAACTCCTTATTTCCACATTCCTTTCTCTACTGCATTACCTTCATTTAAAATGAAAGTTCATGAAAATCTAATAAGCGGCATTATTTGAATGTTGCCTGCATTCCCTACGTCATTTAGGTTTCAAAGGCGAAATGTAATATATATATATTTAATTCGAGTCAGTTCCCATTTCTTTCAAGATTTTTTTTTTCTATTTACTGATCATTTCCTGTCGAGGATCACTTTCAGCATAGAATTTGTACGGTACTCATATTTTCAGATGTTTTGGTCCTCGGCCAAAGAAGCCGAAGGATGAATCGCAGTTATTAATTCTTCGTTTTTAATTCTTGTTCATGGTTGTGCGAAAGGTTTATTTAGTTTTAAGCTAAATTATTACCAGTGTTAATCCATGCTTGTATTGGAATAAAGTTGAATTTTAAAGAGTTAACATTACAACTGGAGACGACCGTCAAATATTGTGATGAACTGAATTTGGAGACGAACTGATAGTGCATGATTTCATTGACGTCGAAAATAGTTAGCAACTGTACTGAAAATTGTTACGATCGACTAAATAGATCGGTAACGAGGTTAATTCGCTGTCAAATAAACAAGACTATTATTGAGTATTTAAGTTGAAGTATGAAGCAACTCGCCCTATTTTCCGTAAAGTGCTTAGCCGCTTACCCAACAAATTAGTTGTTGCGTTTCAGCTTCAATCTTTGTAGCTCTTCTTCAGAAAAACTTCCATACTGTTGATAGCTAGGCCTAATCATAATTATTTTACAGTTCTAATTGTTTCACAACAGTATTTTTGCTACAAAAAAAATGTGTTAACCAAAATTTCGTGTCATTTTATGACTTGAGTTATTATATATATTGGAACTTTTTCAAAGTCACTATTTTATTTACAGAATGTGTAAACTCACGATCATAAAGTTTAGGAAGCAAGAAATCCACACTTTTGAGGATAATTTATATTACTCTACTAACATAACAACGATGACGGCCGATTGCCAATTAAAGCGATACTTCTTAGCCAGGAGCCCGCTTCGCCGGTGCGAATCATTAGAATATTGATCTCTCGACGATCATTCATCTATATACTCAACATTTTACACGTTTGTAGCTCCGTCGCAGGTCAACATACACCACCACTCTGAAACGGAAATACGTTCTTTTACAGGATTTCAAAGTGGAATTCAGATGTACAGAAGTGACTGATAAATATTCATGTACAGGTTCATAAGTCAAATAGATACTTAATTAAGAAACTTCACCTCCTTCAGACGGAGAGTTACATTATGTAAATTATTTTCATAGAGGATAACTTCTTGCCCTAGTTACACCGCGTATTTTATAGCCCGGTAAATAACTCGCGTTACTTGAGTGTGCAATTCAATTTATTCAGCGACCTAAGGCACCGTAGATTTGGGCTTTGTCAACCGACAATTGAAGTAAAAACATTTGATCGGACTATTGAGCATAAAGATAGCAACAATCAGTCGACTCTTGAGCATGGAGGTAGAAACGTTTAGTCAGACTGTTGTGCATGGAGGTAGAATCATCAAGTGAGACTGTTTGCGTTGCAACTTTGATGAGTTGCCAGGCACTTACGTTGATGCAATCGATCTCATCCTGCGAGAGTTCCTTCCGTCTGAACCTGAGCGGCATTTGCCAGTCCTCAAGAACTGCGGCAGCGGCAGTGACGGGGGCGGTTTTGGTGTCTGCTGCAGTTGCTACCGGTAGAGCGCCCCGCACTGCACAGAGTTCAATAGTTGTCAGTAAACATAGATATCTAGTTGAATAATAAAACCTCTAAACCCTCTTATACTGCTGAGGCGTGGATCACCAATGCGAATGCTTCCAATCGATCCATCAGTTAAAACCAATCGAATGGTTCAACAGTGTGACTCGCTGGACAAGTTGATTTTATTTAATGAACTCGCTCTAAATGAAATGAAACTTAAATATCTTCATGAACAAGTTGACAAAATTGATAATGTACTGACGACCAGGCAATTATGACTTAGAGTAAATGGATCTATTGAAAGATGTCAGAAGTACTGAGAGATTAAGATGCATTAAAATGCAGCTGCCACTTATGAGCCACCCAGCTAACTGAACTGTCAAGATCATCTTGTAATTGCACTTCATTTGACGCATCCTTAGCTGTATTATAAACTTTTGTGTCATCAGCATACATAGAGAATACGCTTGACACTACTTCTGGCAGATTGTTTATATAAGCAATTAACAAAACTTGAATAGTGAAATTCTATTATTGAAATGAAACCACCTTTTCACACAAGAAAGTTGAGTAACACATTTTGGGAAAAAATATTTGTTCAGTGGTTGACAATTAACTCAAAAATTTTCAATTATGATACAGAATTTTAAGTTGTCAACACCATTCTGCATTCCAGCATGGTTTGTTATACTGAATGCTCATGAGCAAAGAACTAAAGACCTGCATTTATAGAAATTTGATATCCAGGGTTGTTCATAGTAAGTCAAAACATTACTAATACAACATTAATCTACCAGGCATACCTATATACTGTAGCACTTGTACTTGTAGGCACTACCTATGTATGGGACTCACCAAGCTCCTGGGCGACTGAGCCACCTTTCCTAAACCGGATGAGAGGCACATGAGGCCTCACAGTCTGTAGAAAGCAAGAGAGAGAGGTTTTAGTAAAAATATGGCAAATTTTCAAAGACAAACTTGGATTAATTACAGCAGTTAATGTGATGTGCATTAAAGGAAGGTGGCATTAATGAAAGATTAAAGTCAACAATTAGGAAACAAAATTTTAGAACAGGTCTAATTGAGAGGCAAGAGTAATTTCAGTGAGAATAGCATAATAGCACACCAGTTAACATAAATACTGACTGGTACATATGAAATCAGAGCATTTACAAATGCCCAGCAACAGGCACTGGAATAACGTGAATTTTTCAATAAATGTATTGCACTTTGTCTTGAGAGTATTGCAAATGCATTAGTATAGTAAATAAAATATCATTGAAAGTTGATCAAACCAAGGTTTTGAGTGTTAAACAAAAATGCTAAAATTGGAAAATGGTAATTTTTGTTAAATCAAAGCAAACAACTATTCTTGTGTGGTATAGAAAAAGAAATATCAATAAGAAATAAGTTGCACTAACAGTTCAAGTATTGAGGAGGAGTCATCAGTTGAAATAAGAACTAAGGACCAATTATGCTACAAAAGCTACCTGTGTTTGGGGAAAGAAATTTTTTTTGTCTTACTTCATAGACAAACTCTTACCTTCCACAATGCAGATGCCATCATTGTGACAATTAGCAAAGGAGCATGAGGAGAAGCTTCTGTCTAAGCTATTCAACACTAGAAAAAAATTATTCAATTAAAGGTTCAATTAATTTTAGTCCACAATCACTAAAATATCTCTTGTATATTACTTATATAGGTATATAGTCAAATGGGGTAAGACAGGATCGCAGCCTTCATGGGGTAAGAAAGGACCAGCCCATATCATGCATTCTAATTGCAATAAATTCAATTTGATAGAAGAATATGTTAGAGCAATCATTGCATGTCATTTCAGTGCTTGTTTCAACCCTCTTCTGCAAATAATGAATTTCTGGCTAATTTTTAAAGAAAACTTATGTAAAGAAGGGTCACAAAATAGTTAACCCTGTTTGGGAAATAAGCTCTGTCTAATAACAAAAATTTTTTTGGCCAAGTTTGTGGATGTAGGCATGTAACCTCAAGTAATAAGCAACTTTTGAGACATACTAGGCATTTCCACCTGCTACCATCACTGCCTGACATGTATTCCAAAATGGGGTAAAAAAGGACCGGACATGGGGTAAGACAGGACCACTAAATGATCCTGCTTTACCCCACAAGTGGTCCTATCTTACCCCACAAATGGTCCTTTCTTACCCCATAGTTTATCAAAAATAGCTTTTAAATGAATATATTATGGTGCATTTGTATTGGAGTATTTTGGCCAAATGGAACATACATCTTTTGCTCAAAATAACCATTCTAACTTGTCAGCTTTTTAAGGGAAGCGTCTGCCCCAAAATAAAAAATTTTGATTTTCGGTTTTTGTACGCATCTTATCTTAAAGCTTACATTCTGATGCATCTAATGGTACCAAAACCATCTCTGTAGGTTGGTTTATGCATTCAAGACAGATTGCGAAAGGGTTAGGCGCGGGAGTTCTTTACCATTGAGATGGGCTGAAAATACCGGTAACACACTTAAATAGCTAGTCTGAACACGCTGTGCTTCAGTTATCCACCTGCAGTTGTATGGGACTGCAGTCTTGTGCCGTCATTCACACCATCCTTGACAGAAATTGAGCTAGAGTATCATCTAGTCTTTGCAACCTTGCACCCTTGAATGTCGTTTTTGAGGTGCACACGACTTTGTCAGGCCCTACTGAAAAGTTAACTTATTGTCACTGCAAACCTATCTCCTACTACAGTTTTGAAGCTACAACAATGAGACATATATCATTCGATTCAAAAATAAAAGATCTACAAAACGTTCATGGCATTTTTCCTAATTTTGTTATAATTTGGATTTTATTCTGCGAAAAACGGGAGGATGGCTGGGAGAAAATTGAAAAATTTATGAAAAATGCCCCCACTTTCACAAAAATTAGAATTTCTAAAAAAAGCTATAAACATTTTATAGATAAAGACTTTATGCATCGAATGATATGTGTCTCAATGGTGTAGCTTGAAAATCTTAGTACTAGTTACATTTCTACAGTACCCCCTTTTTTGGCCGTATTATAAGAAATTCATTTTCCTTAATTTCTTTTTTTTAAATTCACACAAAAATTCAAACTCTTTCTATTTTAAATAAGTGTACGTACCAAGTTTCAGAGTGCTCCACCTGTAAATAACCGAGATAAATTTTGGGGCAGACGCTCTCCTCAAAGAAATTTAGCGTACTACGGTAAATTGCATCAAGGGGATGGAGAAAATAGGGATGTCTCTTCCCATTAGTGAGCTGCAGAACTATGTGCAAGAGTGGTTGGGAGTTATTATCCATTGGTTTTATTATCAATTTGATAAATTTTCAGACAATGACACTAATGGAATATATATGTAGCATTCAGCAGTGCTCTACAATGAATCAAAGCCAACCTACTATTACTATGCTTAACCCTTTAACGACCAGGTGTACCATACGGTTGCCTTTCAAACATGCTGTGTATTATTACTGACATGATAAGGAATATGCGATAGTTGTTTTGAACGTGTTTGGTAAGCTTCCCTGTTTTGTTTCAGTGGTGCAGCTCTACTCTTTGCCGCCAACTGCGTCGAACAGCGCTGGTCTTGTTGGGAATCCGTGGTGCCATTCATTTGTTGAAATTTCCCAATCTTTATTGGACTATGGTGGGAAAATCAGAAAAGTTGCAGCATTGGAATAATTCTACACAGTTTCTAGTACAATAGTGGGTGCACATGCAAAATTTGAACATAAAATAAAAATTACATGCATATATCACATTGTGTTGCTAAAGGCAATCCTTCAGTACAGTTGGACTTACAACTGCATTGTTTGAAATGTGACCATTGAGTCATGTTCCTTAGACCATGCAAGTAGGGAATTACAAAGGATAATAATTGTGTTTTCATTACTATTCTATAATTTAGTGCCCTTCTACAATATTTTTCTCACCATTAGTGAGAAACACAAATTCAGTTTACCGATTTTCTATCTACATAGACTGGCCATTATTGAAGTGCACTTGTAATATTTTTTGCCTTTCAGTCTCCTTCATGAGCTTTAGCATGAAAATATTTTCTTCTCCAAGAAAACGTCCCAGTCTACATAAACATCTTGCTGGTCCATTCTCTAGTGAATCTAATGAAGACTCTGGATCAAAAGTCTTCTGATATTGGATACGATATTGGTTTCACCAATATGCCTGAAACCAGTTCTGAAAGCAAATTTGAAAAAGAAAATGAATCAATCATGATTGAAATTAAAAGAATGGAAGGTGGAAACCTGGCCTCTCAACCTGGACCCTGGCCTCTCAACCTGGACCCTGGCCTCTCAACCTGGACTCGGGCCTCTCAACCTGGACTCGGGCCTCTCAGCCTTAATGCTGGCCTCTCAACCTGGACACTGGCCTCTCTGCCTAGACATTAGCCTCACAACCATGGCCCTGGCGTCTTTGGCCCATCAACCTTTATGTTTTCCCAACATCAAGGATGTTGGGAAAACACAAATTTTCTTTGAAATTTCAATCTCAAATAAGGCATTTTTGCTAAAATACTAGAGTTTCTTGGAAGTTTCTTGGCCAAACTTCTTAAGCCCATTGTTGCTAGCAAAAGTAATGTACAAAATGATAATTAACTATGCCAGCTACATAATATCATCCATATTTTGCGCTCAGAAGACTAAATGGATCATACCGTCGCGTTTAATGTTAGGATCTCGTAAGACCAAGTGGACTGAAATGTTGCCTTACATTTTTCAATATACAATTTTCAATGTTCCATACTCATCTATACACTACTTAGTAACTGGAATCACTAGAAATTATAACAAAAAAAATTTATGCGCTTAAAAAAATGTGGTCATTAAAGAGTCAACAGTTTTCTCGTGACAAAAACTCCAATGTGACTGATAAATATCAATAGAGTTGACATCCTGCAACACAAAACAGTAACAAGTGGTTGTGTAATCAAATAATGTGTTTCTAGATTGATAATATTGAATATCAGGTTTGTACTTTTATTAAAAACCTTGTAACACAAGAATTACCTGTTGGTCCTGTCTTACCCCATGCCCGGTCCCATCTTACCCCATTGGGGTAAGATGGGACCAGCTCACTTTTTTTAATCTGTACAGAAAACTATGTTGTATGCAGAAAGTCTGAGTTGTAGCTTAGAAGCCCATTGCATAACTACACCTTGTGATAGGTTTAGGGTTTTTTATTTATTCATGGTATAGATGCTACATGCTTGTTAGTGATTTCGGTCCTGTCTTACCCCATCTGACTATACCTCTAAGGCCCCCTGCCCCCTGATGGGACATGGGAGACTAGAGGAGACAGTGGTGGACACTTGACCATCTTTATAGGTATATATATACTTCTTGCAAGAGCTATGCACAAGATTTTGAAGCAGTCAAACCCATTCTTGTTAAACAAATATTCCCAGTTGTTCAAAGTGTTTCAAGTATCTGATGCATTAGGTGAAGAATAAAACACTATTAAATATTGTATATTCTTGTTTTAATGCTTTATGAACATGTGTAACCTGTTGCAAAAAAACATTACAATAAATATTTTATAATCTGTGCACACATGGCAAAGCACAATATTTTGCTGCTTGGCTCATAGAATTAGTGATTTGCCTAATTTCAAATCAGCATGAAATTAAAAGAAGCTTCTATATGAATAGGGTAAACGCAGTATATTCCGACATCGTGGGTAATTCTGTCACCTCTCTAGTTTTTCCTTTATATTAAGCTTTGTTTTAGTTCCATGCATTTGTTGATGGTTGAAATTGTGATGTCATACATGTGCGCGTCAAACTACTGCCAAAACACTAGGTCTTGGCCATCTAGCGGGAAAATATTGAGATCCAAAGAGAGACAATGCACGCTACCCAGTGAGATCATCAAAACATAGTGGCAAAGCAGGGAGATCTTTAACCCTGTCTCTTATACACATCTAGATGTGTATAAGAGACAGCTTTGCAACCTTGCACCCTTGAATGTCGTTTTTGAGGTGCACGCGACTTTGTCGGGCCCTACTGAAAAGTTAACTTATTGTCACTGCAAACCTATCTCCTCCTACAGTTTTGAAGCTACAACAATGAGACATATATCATTCGATTCACAAATAAAAGATCTACAAAACGTTCATGGCGTTTTTCCTAATTTTGTTATAATTTGGATTTTATTCTGCGAAAAATGGGAGGATGGCTGGGAGAAAAATGAAAAATTTATGAAAAATGCCCCCACTTCCACAAAAATTGGAATTTCTAAAAAAAGGCCATAAACATTTTATAGATAAAGACTTTATGCATCGAATGATATGTGTCTCAAT